TCAGCCGATAGTTGTTTGTGCGATCCTGCACAACACTGTCACCTTTTTTTCCCGGAATTTCTTGATTTTTTTTTTTTCACAATAATTTAAAAAATCGCAATTTGGAAACTGATGACGATATTCACTTTCAAGGTCAAGCGGCCTAGCTCTGTTCGTTGAGCACGTTCGTGGTACACAGGAGGTCGCGGGTTCAGTTCCTCACTGCCCACTGGTGTTACGAACTTGGTTGTCTGACGATTTTCTTGCCACTTACACAGAGTGTCTGACACACGCCCATACACATACCAGACAAAGGGGAGAGAGACAGAGTCCAAACTGCACACAGACAAGGATAAGCAGCGGATTTCAACCATGCACAGATGGGGAGAGACAAACAGTGATTCTCACTCTCTGACAGACTCCCAACAACCAATCACAAGAAGACACCTGCGAGGATAACAATCGGCATCACACTGATGATGAGCCAACTCAAACCAATAATCGTTACAGAGTTTATCCCAGTGCCTCGCCACCCTCAGAACTCCACACACCACTCTCTATTCCACACCCAGTTAGTAGCGCAACACTGAATCCGCCTCCCAGAGGCCAGCGCCAACCATCCAGATGAAGAACATGAATCGCGATGAAGTCTTCAGTGCCGATGAGTCAATTTGACGAAGAAGATGGCAGCTATGGCTGCCACACCACTGACGAAGCCCTGACAATCTCTAAGGAGTGAAGGGCGACAGTGGTCCACCCACATATGCTCAGTGAAGAGCCTCTGAACAGCCCAGCCAATCACAGACACCCTCAGGGGTAGATGCTCAGAGGGTGCCCCAGCTATGGGTGTCGTCCACTATGAGGGTCTCAGGATGCCGCTTGTAGACAATCACCATTACCCAACTTGCTTGGCTCCAGAACGCTGTATGGCGAAAATGAAATGCCAAAAGTCCCTAACCTACCGGCTCAGTCCTATTAATAGACTAGCCTACTCTAGACCTAGACCTACTGGACCGGCACCGCATCAGTTTGGCCTGTTCGGCCTGGGCCCTACCCGGCTATACGGCGCCTATTCCGTCTCTACAGGCCAGGGCCCGGATGGGCCGGCTGTCCCAGTGATAGCACGGGTCTGCTAAGGGCGATAACGGCTAAGGGGAACACGGGTCTGCAATTTTCTAAAAATTGCAGATATGTCCCTCACGAATTCCTCTGAAGACTAAACTGGTTGTTAGTCCCTGACACAAATAAAATTACGAATCTGACCATAAGACGCGACTGTACAACCTCACAGTCAGATCTCGATAGTAAAATCAGCAAGCCTTTGCAGACTTACCCTGGGGGGGAGTGAGGACCTCCGAGCTAGGGGTGTAAACGAGGAGATCGCCGAGGAAGGTTTCCCTTCTTGGCCGCCTCGTAACGTAAAACTACAGACTTTGCTGTTTTGAGAAGTTCCTTCCGGGTAAACCATCTGTCCTAAGTATGAGGCTGGAAGCACAACCTCACAAGATACTGTCGGTCGGGGCCAGTGCCCCACTCATCCTCAATGGACTCCACGTCATATCCCTTGCCAGGTGGACCAAACTGAGGAGGCCGGTCGGGGAACACATCAGCTGCGGTGAAGGGGAGCAGCTTGGATGCATGAAAGACCGGATAGGTCTGCAGATGCAGTGGAACGTCGATGACATATGACGGTCCAAATGGATCAGAACCCACTGTATCTAAGACCTGCCATGGACCCAAATAACGAGGCAACAGCTTGGGGGAGATATCCTCCTATCTCGACAACTCAGAACTAGCCACCGAGACATAGTCAGCAGTACGGATGGGAGAAGGCCGCCTATGGCGATTAGCTTGTTCAATCATAGCCTTTTGAGCTTTGAACAAGTTCGCCCGTGCTCTTTCCACATCTATGCGATAGCGTTTGGCAAACTCTGCGGTGCCTGGTGTCAGATCAGACTTAGCCTTATCGATGATATCATCGAGAGGCTGTCATGGTACACGTCCTCAGTGCAAACGGTATGGGCTAAACCCAGTCGAGGAGTGGATAGACGAGTTATAGACAAGTGCACGAGCCAGGTGGAGATCCCAGTCCTTTTGATCTGGGGAGATGACAAAACGTAGTAATTGGAATAGGACCTGGTTCATCACTTTAGCCTGACCATTGGCTTCAGGGTGATGACCAGAGGTCATGTCCAGTCGTGAGTGTAGGTAATCCTTACAGTAGGATTGCCACTCATTGCTGCAGAATCGTGGATCTCGATCACTGACTATAGAAGTGGGCGGTCCATGGTGAGTAACCCACCTCTCTGAAAACGTTGCTCTCACAACGGGGACCCTAGCTACTTCTGGCAAGGGGATGAACTCTGCGTACTTAGAGAACCTCTCCACACAGACCATTACCTGACGCATGCTACGAAAGGTGGTCTTGCCTAGATCAATGAAGTCAATAGACACAGATTCACCAGGACCATTATGTATGGGTAAGGGTTTGAGCAGTTCCAGAGGAGGTCTACGATGGACCTTATTTCTCTGGCAGAGCTCACAGGTTTCAACATAGTGCTGCAGATCAATCCGCATCTCCTTCCAGAAGAAGCGTTGCGACAGGGCGGCATATGACTTTAAGAACCCAAAATGTCCGCGCGCATCGTGACACTTTGACATCAGCAATGTCATGAGTCGCTGGTCCTGGGGAATGCATAAGCGTTCCTCCCCTCTGCTGTAGGTATACAACAGGTCTGAACTCAGGGCGTAGCCGGGTTCAGAATTGGGATCCGCTTGCAAATTCCTGACTCTGGTTCCATAAGTTGGGTCCTGAGGCAGTAGACGAGCAATGGTTTGACGGGTCTCCTCTCCAAAGGAGTGAGTGGAGGAGATCAGCGCAAAAGAGTCAGGCCTACGAGAGAGGGCATCTGCTACTTTATTGTAGCAACCCTTCTTATGTTTCAGTTCAAAGTCAAACATGTCAATGAAATGAACATAGCGTGCCAGTTTGTCATTCAACTCTCCCTCAGATTTCATCCACTGTAAGATGGAATGATCAGAGAAGATCTTGAAGTGTCTTCCCAGGAGAAAGTGCTTCATATAGCTCCTTCTCGTAGGTAGAGTCCGGAAGCTTCTGAGTCTTGATCTTCTTACTCATGAACTCTACAGGCCGTAGACCATTCCCATCATCCTGCTGAAGAACTTCCCCGATGCCCAAGTGACTGATCTTGAAGTGTCTTCCTAGGAGAAAGTGCTTCATATAGCTCCTTTTCGTAGGTAGAGTCCTGAAGCTTCTGAGTCTTGATCTTCTTACTCATGAACTCTACAGGCCGTAGACCATTCCCATCATCCTGCTGAAGAACTTCCCCAATGCCCAAGTGACTGATCTTGAAGTGTCTTCCTAGGAGAAAGTGCTTCATATAGCTCCTTCTCGTAGGTAGAGTCCTGAAGCTTCTGAGTCTTGATCTTCTTACTCATGAACTCTACAGGCCGTAGACCATTCCCATCATCCTGCTGAAGAACTGCCCCAATGCCCAACTGACTGGCGTCAGTGGTCAGGATGAATGGGAGAGTGGGGTTAGGCAACTTCAGCACCGGTGCACGAGTCAAGGCCTTTTTGAGTCGTGTGAAGGCCAACTGACAGGGAAGGGACCAAAAAAAAGGAGTGTCTTTCTTTGTTAGGTTAGTCAGGGGCGCAGCCACTGCAGAAAAGTTCCTGACAAACTTTCTGTAGTATGAGGCTAAACCCATGAAGGACCGGGCATCCCTCACTGTCTGTGGTTGTGGCCACTCCTGAACAACAACTATGTTGGCTGCTTCAGGAGCCAGACCATCTCCAAAGATTACATGACCCAGGTAGATAACAGAGGGAACCCCAAAAGAGGACTTCTCTCTGTTAATTTTGTACTGGTTGTCACGTAATGACGGAAGAACTAGAGCCAACTGCTCCACATGTTCCCTGGTAGTTCGGCTGAATATCAGAATGTCATCTAGATAGACAACCATGAACTTGTCCAGGTAAGGTTTGAAGATGCGGTGCATCTCAGTCTAGAAGGTACCTGGGGCATTGCAAAGTCCAAATGGCATAACCAAATACTCGTAAGTACCATATCTGGTTTTGAAGGTTGTCTTGTGGACATCTTCCTCTGCCATCTCAATCTGATGATACCCAGATTTGAGATCGACTTTGCTGAACATTGTACAACCCTGCGCCATATCCAGAAGGTCATCGATCCTAGGAATAGGCTCTGTACTTTTCCTAGTAATCTTATTGAGATCCCTGTAGTCGATGCACATTCTGAATTCTCCATTCCCTTTCGGGACGAAGAGCACTGGTGCGCCAAATTCAGATGTGCTCGGCCGTATCCAACCCTTGCTGGTCAGGGTCTCTAACTGCTTTCTGAGCTCCTCAAGCGCAGCAGGGGACATCCTGTAGATGCGGCCCTTAGGAGGGACCGCTCTAGGTAGCAGCTCAATGTGATGCTTGGTTGGCTGGTTGAGTAGTCCAAAGGGCTCCTGCATCAGATCGGCATACTAGTCCACAACCTGCTGTATCTCACGAGGACAGGAAACAGGTGGAGCGTCTGTTTGCTTGACCAGAGCTAAAAACAAACGCTTATGGTCGTATTGGCGCGAGAATGAATAAAACTCCCTCGCTCTCAAACAATCGCAACTAGTCTTAGGGTGGTGGTCAGCAGCAATCATGCAAGGCTGATACACCCCCTGCCCATTGGGGAGTTCAACCTTAGGGATCTGCCAGTCGATCCTAGGGTTGACCGCCCTCAGCCACTGCATAGAGAACACCAGTTTAAAGAGTAGATCAGGGAATATGTACAAGTTCAGAGCATGTCTGAATTCTCCAGCACCGTCGAAGGTAACAGGTATACCCCTGACCTTCTCCCTGATGGTGAGGACAGTGGAGTCACCTATCCTGACTTGCAGCGGATGCTGCAGTTGCTGAACTTTCATGCCCAAGTGCAGTTTCTTGACAGCACTGGGAGACATGAAGTTCCTGGTGGCTCCATAGTCTAACAACCCTTTGATTCTGATGTGATTGATTAGGGGCCGAAGTAGGATGAGATCAGACTTACTTTTCTTTTGTTCTTTCAGATGACGAAGAAAGCAGCAAGTGACTGAAGCTCATTCTCCTCTGGGTCCTGATCCGGGTCAGGATCCTTATAGCAGAAGGATGCTGCCCGTGCAGTCCCCAAACTCCAAGACTCTGTCTCAACTGAAGCAGCTGCAGATTCATCTAACTCAACAGATGAAGGTGCAGCAATGGGGGGAACTGCAGTCCCCAAGGTCTGCTTCAGTTTTTTCACTAACCCGGGCCTGGCCTGTAAGGGTAGTCCTTTAGAAAGTGTCGTCCCTCACACCGGAGGCAGACCCCTCAATCCTTCCTTCTTCTCCAGACTCCTTGGATCTTGAGATCATGCCAAGGGAGAGTGGAGGGATTGAGTGGGTCAACTGGCATTCGAACGTCCTTTGGTAGGTTAGGGCGCTGGGCAGAGGTAGAACGACGACGTCCTTTGTCCTTCCCCTTTGAACTGGTTGAGGCTGTAGCGGGAGAAAACCGTTTCTGCTGCTGCAGAACTCCCAAGACAGCCCGAGTCAGGGCCGCTGCAACATCTGTATCAGCAACTGAATCAGTCCCAGTTGATGGTACATCAACCTGGGAGTCTGAATCACTTGCTGATGCAGACCCTCCATGTGTGAAGGCAGCCTTTCCCTTTCTGCCACCACGAGGGAAGGCTCCTTTTCTTCTGTCAGAAGAAGGGGCCTGAACATGAAGCTTTGCCTCCATGTCCAGGGCTGCACGGCCGAAGCATCTCCAATCCTTATCCAGCGCTATACAAGGCAACAACAAACTTCTCAGGCGCTGCCCTGCAGAAGTTGGTCTGCAGATCATCTACTGACATGACCAACCTAGGGGTAGAGGTCAACTGCTCGAACTTTGCAAACAAGGACTGCAGTGACCCGCTGTAGCGCTGTTGTCCCAGGCGAGCAATCCTGTCAGCAGCTTTGCGGGCCCGCTCCTTGTCTGCAAAGCGGTCCTCTAAGGCCTGCAAAAGTTTGTCCACCCCCATCCCAAAAGCCCAGACCTCGACTGCTGGAAGTAGAAGTGGCCCACTTCAAGGCAGGCCCCTCCAGCTGTCCCAAAATCGTTGCTACTTTGGTCTCCTCAAGTAGGCTTTGGTCCCAGCAGCCCAGTCCCCAACATCGGTCTTTTGGTCATCCCCTCTGAACTTGTTGGGAGCTGGGATCTTGGGTCCCCTTTGATCTCTTGCAGCAACAGACGCAAAAGATGGGTGGACTGCAGCTTTTTGGGAGTGAGGTGGTGAAGGGGAAGAAGGGCGTGAACCAGAGGGAGATGGGGAAGGAGAAGGAGAAGGTTTCACTGAGAGGGCAGGAGACTGAGCAACAATCAGCTTGGCTGCTGTCAGCTAAGCAGTCAGATCCCGAATTGCATTCAATATCTTTGACTCCTGAGCCGCCACGTCATCCACTCTGCGCTCCAGACGGCCTATGCGGTCATCCCAGTTAGTGAAGTAAGAACTGGTGGCTTTGTGTTCCAAAATGGCCCACTCCGCCAAGTTCTTAGTTACCTGGGCGCAACACTCATCTGACACAGTCTTGGCTAGCTGCTCCAACAGATACTCAACGCGCGTCGCATCTGTTGCAGCCTCCAGCTCGGCTGCCTCCTATCTCTCCAATTCTACAAGCAGGGCCTGCTCCTGCTGCAATTTTTCTTGCAACTTTTTCTGCTGAGTAGAAGTCAGAGGGGTAGTAGAGGGGGAGGCAGAAGTTCGCTGAACTTCTGTCTTCACCTCCACTTCTCCCTGTGGCTGCAACTGAGCCCCCTGATCCGCCATTTTCCTCTTTCAATTCAACAATAATTAGTAGACAAGTAGAGGAGTATGCAGCGATTTTCGATTTCCTTCAGACTCTCAGAAATCACTGTTGTCTCATGCACAGAGGTAGGTGGGTGAATAGGCAACGAGCGGTTTGGGTTAGAACGGTTTCTCTGGGGTCAGGGGTCAGACAGACAACAGTCCAGTAAAATCAAACACACGATTTCCTTTTACTGACCCTGAACCTTTACTGAAGTTAGTATTCATAACTCCACCAATCCTGGAGATACCCTAGATTTCCATAGCCCACTAGAAAGCAAGAGAGATCAGTGAGAATGAAAAGACCTGGCAAGACTAGGCAACAATGACGAACCAGACAGAGCCATTCAACCGGAAAGCTTAGATCCTACCTCAGACTACAATTTTGGCCCTGATGACTCTGGCGGCCATACCCTTGGGTATGGCAAATTACAGTATTCACTCTATCTAGTGAAATACTGCAAATCCAAACAAGCGCTTCTGCACTACTGACAACTACTGAATTGCGATTTACTGCAAACTGACAGAATTGAATTCTGACGGACTGAATTGAAGTTTTGATTGAGCCTAGTTAGCACAGGCTATAATTAGACTCAGCGCAAAACTACAATTCAAAGTATCTCTACCATTCCAATGCAGAATTCACAGTTTGAGCATGCAGGATCAAGCGCAATACAGTAATGCAGTCACATAACAATTTTGGATGGAAAAGAGTCAACAGAGGGTAAGAAATGAGCAGAAGGAGGTAGGAGAGAGATGGCTATGGCTGTCATGCAGTCGGCGATTTTTAATTTCAGACACTGACAGGCAGACAGACCATCAATACTAACTATCCTGACCCTATCAGAATCGCTATACTGAAATTTGCATGGAACGGACTCATTTTCAGAGTTTCCTGCAGAGCTTGATGAAGATCTGGCTATGGCAGACTGAAACCCTCATCTCGCCAGTTTCTTCTAGAAATTCTTCCTTTGTCCTCCACGCATCAAATCTCTGCAAACTTGTTGATCCTGTTCAGGATCCTGAGGCACTTCAGCCCTCTAGTCAGATTCACTGAATCTGACCCTGTGGCGCTCAGAAAGCTAGGCTACCGGAGTGGCCCGGGGTCACTTGACTGGCCGGGCCAAAAAAAAAAAATATATATATTCTCCCTCTCTGCCTACGGTTTA